ACCAGCTGTGATGGGCTACAGAGGATGGTCTGGGAGAACAGAGACCTGTGAGGCCAGCCAGGCACCAAAGAGTTCCTCATGCTCAGTCACTGCTTCAGCAGGGGCACTGCTGGGGAGGGCCCGAGGGTTACTGCCGTCTTCCTATGCAAGCTATGCTGTATGCATGTTATACACGGGCACGCAGGGCTGTCAGGTCCCTTAAGAACCTACCTGAGCTGCTGGGGCTGAGGCTGTTAGGAGAGGTGTCTGCACTGGAGGCTCCATGTTTTCCTGTCCCTTCTCATCCTCAGAGCTACCCATGATGGCTGCCTCATTGCCATGCAGGGACCCAGCTTCTCCATCTGCACCCAGGACCTCTTGCAGCTCAGTCTGGGGAGACACAAGTCACAGGAGCTTGGGAGCCTCGTGGCCATACATACTGTGATAGGATCTGAAAAGAAAGGGCCCTCTTCCCCGCAGTACTTCCCAGCATCAGTCACTGTGCCTGAAAGCCCCCTTTACCAAAACACTTCTTTAATCTGACTGAAGACAGTCTTGAAAACAGTGAGACCACAAGTCTGAGAACCCCCAAGTACAGAGTGCAGACCAGACATCAAAGGAAACTAGTCTCTGCCCTGACTGGTTTGGCTCAGTGGATAGAGCGTCGGCCTGCGGACTGAAGGGTCCCAGGTTCGATTCCGGTCAAGGGCATGTACCTTGGTTGCGGGCACATCCCCAGTAGGGGGTGTGCAGGAGGCAGCTGATCGATGTTTCTCTCTCATCGATGTTTCTGGCCCTCTATCCCTCTCCCTTCCTCTCTGTAAAAAATTAATAAAATATATTTTAAAAAAAAGAAAAAGAGGAAACTAGTCTCACACTGTATAGTCAGGAAACAGCCCCAAGAAGGGCAGGGCAGTTGTGCAACATCAGAGCACACACAGGGGCAAACCCCAGCCTCCTCTGCAGTTTGATCAGGCCCAGGACACCAGCTTGGCAGACGTACCAGCAAGTCTGTATCGTCCTCCAGCCCTTCTTCCTCCTCCTCCTCCTCCTCCTCCACATCCCGCATACAGTCCGCTGCCAACTTCTCGATGTGGGCCATAGGTAAGGGGGCTGGGAAACAGAGGGTCAGGGACTCAGCAGAGGTCCATGAAGAGTGAAGGAGAGCCTTCAATGACTGTACATTTCTACACCCAGGTAGAAACCCTGCCTTTCCACAGCCAGTCCCACCTGGAAAACTCCTGCTCTTCCATTATGACCCAGCTCCAAAGACCCTCAGCAGGGAAACCTTCCTGGACCCTTCTCCGCACTTTTGCTATCGTTCTTCACAGACACATCCATCCTTTTCTCCTAACTACACCTGTCATGTATGTAAAGACTTTTAACATCCATTTGAGCTTCACAGTAATTCTGTAAGATAGGTCATATTATCCCTTTTATAGAAGTAAACTGAGAACTACCAATATTAATTTTCCTATTAATTGCAATCCTATAAGTAGCAGAGCCATGATTCAAACCCAGGCTCATCTAACCCCAAAGGTTTGGACTGAGAAAAAATGGAGGGCCATGGTCCTCCCATTATCCTCAGCTCAGGGGTACAGGGGTTGGGGGAGGTTTTCCCTGAGGGTTCCTGGTGAGAAGAGGAAGATTTAGATCCTCTGACCCTCCCAGACTTCAGGTCTCTGTCCTCTTCCAGGCTAGGCAGGAAGATTCTGCTTATTCATCGGATACAACTTCTATGCGCTGATTAGTGCCCAATTCAGTCTGTGCTGAGCCCCTACTCTATACCAGGCCCTGGCTGGGCTAAGGGTAGAGACCTGAGTCAGCCAGAGAATCACACTGCTGACTGTCCACATGAAGGGGGCAGTCAGGGAAGGAGTGAGCTCCCCATCACAGGTGTGTGAGCAGGGCAGGACGAGCTCTTGGTGAGAGTGCTGCAGAAGGGACATGGGTAGCAGGACGACCAGGCGATGTGGCTGCATCCTCAGAGCTGTGAGGACTCTCTCCACCACCTGCTTGAGCCCATCTGGTCCCAGCACCAAGTCCAGCCCAGCACCGACAACTTACCCTTCCCTTTGGGGACTGGCTTCCTGCCTGTGGTCCCTGCTTCCCCAGTGAGGGCCAGCAGCTCAGCCTCCAAGTCCTCATCATCTTCAGTCTCCTCCACCCCCAGCAGCATGTCCTCAGGGCTCAACTCCACAAAGAGCCCCAGCTGAGAGCAGAGAAGATTTCTTAGGAACCATACAATGGGGACAAGGATGTAGCCCAGCCCCACAGCCAGGCTCCTAGAGATCAGTGGCTCCTTCACTGTGTGAGGCCCAATGTGCAGAAAGGGAAACTGAGGCCTACAATATTACCCCTTAGTATACTCCCTGGTGACTATAAAGACAGTAAGACCACAATGCCATTATTATTACAACAATGACAGCACTGTATTTACTTAGCACTCACGTGCTTACCTTAGTTAATTCTCACAATCCTAAGGGGTAGGTTCTATTTTTAAAAAAGTTATAAAACACACATAACCTGGAAACTATTATCATAACCATTTTTAAGTGTTCAGTTCAGTGGCATTAAGTACCTCACACTGTTGTGCTACTATCACCACTCTCCATCCACAGAACTCTTTCCATCTTGCAAAACTGAAACTGTGTACCCATTAAACAACAACTCCCCATTTCCCCTTCCCCCGGCCCAATGACCACATTCTACTTTGTCTGTATGAATCTGACTACACAAAGGTAGGCCCTTTATCACATTCAGATGATACTGAGACAGCCTTGTTAAGTGCAGAACTAGAATTTAAAATGAGGTCATATGACTTGAGTCTCTGCCCTTTGTCCTACACCTTCCTCACCTGCCTCTTTTAAGAAGTCCCAGGACTTGAGCCCAGAATAGAGATTAGGGAACAGACCCCTAAGGCTGCAAAGCTCTCCCAGCGGATTAGCCCTCAAGCCCTGGCCTCTGTGGCTGGTAAGCAGAGCTGTGGCCCTAAATGAACCCCTCAGAGTGCCGAGGCCCCATCAGTACCCCATGAACTGGTGGTTCCTGAAACCTCCAGATCCCTCGTAAGGAGGCGGCCATGGCAGGAGGGTGCCTGGGTTCAGGCCTCATTCCCCACGTGTGCGGCGGCGGAGGCCAGGCAGTGTCCCTAAGGGCTCTGCCAACTCCAGGAGGCACCGCTCCAAGTCTCTGCGCTAATGGGGACACCACTCAGATGGCCCAGATGGCCCACGCCTGGAGGAACCCCCACCCCGGCTCAGGGGTGAAGGCATTTACATACCTGCTTGGCCGCTGCCACACCCTGCCCACGGGCCTGAGGGCCCTTCCGCGGCCTGGGCCCCGGCATCCTGGCGGCCTGGACACCTGTCTGGGGGGAACGGACGAGACTCAGACTGGAGCAGCCCATAGGCCCCCTCCCCAAAAGCGCTCCCTGAGTCAGGCTGGTCAGGAGGAAAAGGCAATGCTCACACCGAAGGATGAAGGAGGATCACGGAAAGCACAGCCCCGGAGCAAACACTAGGAGGCAGAAGGGAGGAGGCCACCTGCCAGCGGGCTGAGGGGAGTGCGAAACCGACGGCAAACCCGAGTGGGCGGAGCCGGGAGACAGGAGTAACCGCAGGCCGGGCGGCGGGTATAAGGCTCGGCTGTCAAACACGGTAGCCACACGTGGCTACTTCCATCGAAATGAACGGAATTAAAAATCCAGTTCCTCGGGTACTGGCCGGCACAAACACTGACCTTTTATCATCACAAACATTTCTCTTGGGCGGTTCTGTCTAGTCCAGAGGACTGACTCCGCGCCCTGGTTCAGGGATCTCACAACCTCACGGGGCCTACTCTGTCAGGAGACCCCGCGCCGGCACCGGGGGAGCAGACATGAATGTGACATGTCCCCAGCCTCTCGGAACATTAACGCGGGGAGACGGCCTCGTGGACGGACACACGCCCCCCGGGGCGCTCCGGCCCCGGCGGAGGGAACGGGCTCGGCCGCGCTGAGTCCGCTGGGAGCTGGGAAAGGACCCCACGCCGAGGGCGCGACCAGAGGGTCGTTCTGGGGGGAAGAGCCGCTTGGCCTCCGCAGGAGCCTCAGGACCCGGGGCTCCTGGAGCCTAAACTGCGCGGCAGGACGTGGACAAGTGCGGCCGCAAAGGTGCGCGGAGCCGATGTGAACGCCTCGACACCTGGTGGAATCCAGGCAGCATCCCGGGGCCAGGGCCGGCGGGACCGGGCCGGCGGTTCTGATTCTGAACCGCCGCGGGCTGCAGCCGGGAAGAGGCAGCGGGAGCGGAGGCTGCAAACCGTCCCGGCCGCAACGGTCCCGGCCGGCGGGGCGCGCTGCGGGGCGCGGGGTGGCGAGAAGCGGCTGGAGGCCGGAGACGGGGGTGGAACGCCAGGGGCTCCGAGGGTGAACCAGGCTGCGGGCGCCCCGGGGGGGCAGGGGTGACTTCAGGGGTCAGATTTTTAGCGGCGGGGCTGGGGGGCGGGCCCGGCGCCGAGCGGGGGCGGAAGCGCGGCGGCTCAGGGAAATCAGGCGAGGGCCAGTCCGAACGCGCCCGAAGTCCTGCAGGTCCCCGGGGCCCGGGGCTGGGGGCGTCGGGTGCCCGGAGCCCCGGG